ATTATTGTAGTCTCCTAGTTAATATTTTGTTTAGGATTTTTGCATCCATATTCAGAAATTGTTCTCTAATTTTCTTTCTCTGTTTTTGCTCTTCCTGGCTTAGGTATCAGTGCCATATTTGTTTCATAAAAGGAATTTGTTAGGACACTTTTGCCTTCTATTACAAATGATTTATTTAATATTAGAATTAGCTGATTCTTAAATGTTTGATAGAATTCACGTGTAAACCCATCTGGTCCTGATACTTTTTCCTTAGGAAGCTCATTTATGGCCTGTTCTATTTCTTTTTCTAAAATAGATTTATTTAGATATTCTATTTCCTCTTCCGTTAATCTGGGCAGTTTATATTTGTGTAAATGTTCTTCCATTTCACTTAAATTTTTAAATTTATTAGCTCATAATTGGACCAAATAACTCCTTGTAATTGTTTTGTTTTCATCTTCCTTAGTGGCATACTCATCCTTTTCATTTATAATATCAATGATTTGGTTTCTCTCTCTTTAATACCATATTAGCCAATGGTTTGTCCATTTTATTGTTTTTTTCATAAAACCAACACCTAGTTTTATTCATTAATTCAATGGTTTTATGTTCAGTTCTATTAATCTCACTTTTAATTTTTAAGATTTCCAATCTAGTGTTTAATTGGGGATTTTTAATTTGTTCTTTTTCTAGTATTTTTAGTTGCATATCCAATTCATTGGCCTACTCTTTCTCTATTTTATTGATATAAACATTTAGAGATATACATTTTCCTCTGATAATTGCTCATCTCATAGGTGTTGATATGTTGACATATTATTGTCATTCTCTTTAATGAAAGTATTGTTTCTATGATTTGTTCTTTAACCCACTCATTCTTTAAAATTAGATTGTTTAGTCTCCAATTAGTTTTTAATCTGTTTCCATAGTCCCTTATTAAATATAATTTTTTATTGAATTGTTATCTGAAAAGGATGAATTTAATATTTCTGCTTTTCTTCATTTACCTACAAAGTTTTTATGCACTAATATATGGTTAATTTTCATAAAGATACCATGTACCACTGTGAAAAAAAGAGTATTCTTTCTTATTCCTATTAAATTCTCTCCAGATATTTATCATATCTAGCTTATCTAATATTCTATTCAACATCTTGGCATCTTTCTTTTTTATTTTTTTTTGTTAGCTTTATCTAATTCTAAAAGGGTAAAGTTAAAGTTCCCCACTATTATCATATTACTATCTATTTCAACCTGTAACTTATTTCACTTTTCATATACAAGTTAGATGCTATAGCATTTAGTGTTTTTAAGTTTAATGTTGACATTGCTTCATTTTCTATAGTGCCTTTTATCATAATGTAGTTTTCTTATTTATCTCTTTTAATTAAATCCATTTTAGCTTTAATTTTGTCAGAGATCATGATAGCTACTCCTGTTTGTTTTTTTTTTTTACTTCATCAGAAGCATAATACATTCTACTTCAGTCCTTTATTTTAACTGTGTGAAACTCTCATTTTAAAATGTGTTTCTTATAAACAACATACTGTTGGGTTCTGATTTTTAATCCATTATCATTTTATGGGTTTTTTCAATTTATAGGTGAGTTCATCCCATTCACCTTCAAAGTTATAATTATTAGTTATGTATTTCCCTCTGTCCTATTTTTTCTAACTTTTTTCTTCTCACCTTCTCTTTTTACCCTGTCTCTTCTCATACATCTGATTTACTTCTAACCACTATCTCCTTAATCTGCACCCTTTTAAAGAGCCCCTCCCTTGTCTTCTTCCCTTACCTTCCTATTCCTCTAAGAATCCCTCCCTTATCCTCTCCCCCCACCATCCTACTTCTTGATCTACATAATGTTCTAAAAGGCCCTCTCTTATCCTATCCTCTCATCCTCCTATTTCTGTATAAATTTAGAAGGCTTTCATACTCTTCCAGATGTGTTATTCTCTCTTTGACCCAGTTCTGATGAGCATAAGGTTCCAGCACGACCAGCCCTCCATCCTCACTTGCTTCCACTGTAACAGTTCTTCTATTTATGCCTTGTTTTTATGAGATATTTTTCCATTTTACCTCTCCCTACCTTGATGGAAAATTAAGAGGTCATTGGTAACTTTTGAGAGAGCAGTTTTGGTGTGATGATTACATCAGAAGCTGGATTGTAAGGGGTTAAGAAGAAAGTAAGAGGAAAGAAAGTAAAGGCATCTTTTGTAGACTTTTTAAAGGAGTTTACCTACAAGGGGAACTGGGAATATAGGATGATAAAGGACATGGAAGGATCAAGTGAGGAATTTTTGAAGATGGGGGAGAAATGGGTATGTTTTTAGGTAGTAGGAAAGAGTCAGTAGATAGTGAGAGATTGAAAATAAGTGCTGAAGTGGAGATGACAGAGTAGTCAATATATTAGAGGAGATGGGATGGAATGGGATGGGATAACTTGAACAGTTATTATTAACAGAGGGGTTAGCCTTGGTAAAAAGTAAGGCCACTTCATCATGTGAGACAAGGCTGAAGGAGGAGATAGTGGCAGAAGGCATCTGAGTGTCAGGAAATGAGGAAGGGGAAGAGAAGGAGGTCATAGTGAATGGCCTCAATTTTTTCTTTAATATATGAGGCAAGGTTATCAGTTGAGAGGATGAGAGGAGGGGGAGCCATGGAAGGTTTGATAAAGTGTGAAAAAATTTGGAAGAGCCATTTTTGAGAGTAGGATAGCACCGTCGGTGGTTCATAATAACTGAGGGGACAAAGTCCAAGTTATGTGATTTATTAGCAAATCATGCACAATAAAAAGAGTCAATGGACTTCTCAAATGCCACAAAGACCCTGAATATAGGGGGAAGCACATCAGACCACTTAAGGTGTGTTTCAGAACATATTTTACCAACCAAATAAGTTATTTGTTCATATGTTCAACCTGACCAAAGCCCTGGGGGTGAAAAGGGGTATAACACCTAGGAGTCACTCTGAGACAAGAATAAATTTGGGAGAGGAACATGTTAGTGAAATGAGATCTTCATTGTGAGCCACAAGGCCAAACCAGAGGACATTTTCTTTAAGAATAATTTTGGCCATGAAACTAGCATTAGCCTTTGAAGTAAGGAAGGCTTCTACCCAGTGAGCCAACTAATCAATGATTACAACACAAATTTTGTAGTGACCAGACTTAGGTATACTGATAAAATGAATTTGCAAGTGCTCAAAAAAAGTATAAGCAAGAAGGCATCTGCCAAAAAGGATGACATGGAATGGATGTTGATTAAATGCCTGAGAAGTAGGATGAGAGGCACAAATATATGCAGCAATAGGAATAATATCAGGGGCCACCCACACCCTTCTAATCATATCCACAATCCCTTGTGTGCCAAAATGTGCCCCTTCTCCCCACCATTATTGACCAGATAGACATACTTGGTGATAGAAACCCTGGAAGAGGAGTGGTTTGCTTTCTGCAGTCATTCTGTCCCCAATACGTGCTTGGCATGAAAACATTGTTTCCATTTTGCAATTTCAGAGTCATTGTAAGATAAAGAAAAGTGAACATTGTCGGAAGCAGAGAGATGGAACACATGTGTGGGACCTCAAGGGTAGCAAGCTTTGAGGCAGTCAGCATGATTGTTGCCTCTTGAAACAAGATCAGTTCTATTAGTGTGGACAGGACAGTTGATAATGGCCTGAGCAGTAGGAAGTCTTAGGGCAGATAAAAGATCTCCAATGTATTGAGCATTTGCAATGACTTCACCAGAAGACATTAACTCTTCTGTAACCACAATATCCTGACAGCATGACAAACTCCAAAGGCACGTTTTCCTTCCTAATAAAGTCACTTCATATTTAGCAAGTCTATCATTAGAGAAAGCCTGAGTATGTCAGGATCCCCATGCCAAGGCCACCCCTCTCTTTTTTACTCCTCTCTTTTTACTATTAGGAGACACCCTGTTTTCCAGAGCTAAGGCCCAGCAAGCAAGCTGTGCTCTGAGCTTGGCAAAACAATCATTCTTTGTACTTCATCCTTTGGATGCGCTCTGCCACAGCACTATCCCAAATTGTTTTACACCAGTCCCTGATGGTCCTTGAGCTCAGACAAGCACCTACAGGACCCATGTTCTGATCATGAAGCCCTGCTACGAATCAAATTTGTCTCATTGTTGCTGTTACCCCTCATTGTCAGGGCTACAGCTCACTGCATAACCATTGCTATATGCATTAAAATTTAGCCTCACTAAAAGGGGTCTCCTTATAGAGGAGGCCCTGGCACATGTATCTAGTCTCCCTCCTCCAATGCAATAAAGAAAGCTTTTTGCTTATGACTGCTGTTGGCTCTATTTTTAAAATTTGTTTTATTTTATTCCTTAGAGTTAATTGTGGTTGTAATGACCTGTGTGGGCTCTTCAGTTTGATTGATGGTTGGTTTTGCTGAACTGTTTCTTTCCTCTTTCATTTTTGCTCCTTGTTTAAGAAATAGCTCCTTGGGTAGTAGAAGGAGAGGGACATACTTGGAAGTGAAAGTGATATGAAAACAAAGATTCCAATTAAAAATAAAAATTTTATAAAGTAAATAAAACCCTGTCAGCCTAATGAAAAGAAATTGATGAAAATAGTTTCAGTTAAAAAAGTAGATATACAATAAACCTGTAAAATCCCCAGCCTTTCCATATTTCACAAAAGTCCCAGTATAACTTCTATATTAATGATAAAATGTGTCAAAGAGTAGTCTATTAATCTATGTACACAAACAAAACCTATACAAAGGCAACAAGAAAACATTTCAAATATAAAGAATGAAATTACTGGATAGAGTATTTTTGACAGACAAAAAGAAAAATTCTAAAATTAGTAAAGGAATAGGAATTGAGTAATTCCAAGGGGAGTAATAATTACACTAATACATAATTTATTGTTCCTACTTTTAATCTTTTTATAATAAAGATAACTAGAAGTTGGCCAGATGGAAGGTTACAAATGTGTATTAAAAACCAGAGGTACACTAATAAAAATACTGTATTGCTCATTTGTGAGTTTTCATATTCATAAAATATGATGTCCATTTTAGTCAGATAAGGGAAATTTCTGAAAGGCCAACACTTGGCAATCGCTGTACATTTTCTTTGACAAAAGCAACTTTTAGCTGCAGAGTCATTTCCTGGTTTTGTTGTTCCTTTTCAAACTGCCCTCATCTGTTTCTGCTACAGAGGAATTCTTCCTTCGGTTGTTCTGACATAAGCTGCTATAAGTTATGATGGCATACTAGTGGGAAAGAAGGAGAAGATGATGGGTATAGTTTTCAATGTCAAAATTGATAGATGTAATTTGGAATTTACTATGACTTGGCTTCTTTCATCCTTTTTTTTCAGCCATTCCACGAAATAGAAATGAATTAAGACATTTATTCCAATTATGTTTTTTCCCCATTTTTGAAGACAAAAAATGAACTGTTCTAAAATAGATGACGTGTTCAAAACCTAAATATCTCCCTCCCATTGCTTTACTTATGAGATGGAAACTTTCCCCATTTGACATGAAAATGTTTTAATTTCATAGTTGTTCTCTTTGTTGGCTTCCCAAGCAGCTAAGCTATAGGGCAAATACTTAATCACAAAAAACTAGCCGTTTCTTATTGAAGTTTTGATTTTTTATTTAAAATTCTTCAATTTATACCATATGCATGGAATAATAATCTCACTATTTAAGTATCCTATAACTAGGAAAAAGTTAGAAAAATTCTTATAACTGTTGGCAACAATGTGCTCAAGCAAAATTCTTGCTTATGGAGTATTTGTTAACTAGATAATATCAGCTTTTCTAGTAGGCAGAGTTATCATGTGCAGAACTATCATGTAAATTATAATATAAGAAATGAATTTCCCTAAATTTGGGCATTTCTGTCTAAAGTACTCTGGATTTTCTTGGTAAATGAAACACAGTTACAACTATCTTCATTCTAATTAAACATTAACATATTAAAATTATAAGCACTTGAAATAATTTCTGTAACACAAAACTAAAATATGTCTCTATAAGGCAAGAATGAAAGACCATCAAACTGGATTACATTCATATGTTAATTGTATTGGAATAATTAACTTTCTCTTTTTCTTCTGTGGATGAATATGATTTAATAGGCTTTACCATAGTTACCTTAGAATCTCCAAAAGCATTAATGGCTGTAGATCGATAATTATCATGCATCCTTTCATTGTCCAAACCCTCTTTTTCTTTATTAGATGATTTAAGATCAGTATTTGTGGGATTGTTTTTTAAGACACAACCTGATCCAAAGAGTTCTTCCATCAGATTGTTTTTCTTATCCCTCAAAGATGTATTTACAGAGTTTTCATTCTTTTCACTTGATGAATCTTTTACTTTTGTTTTGGAAGATTTACCAAATGATGATTCATATCTACTAATTGAATTTTCTATCTGTGGGTCAGTTGTATTACCTTGTTGCTTGTTTGCAACTTGACTGTTGTAGGTGGCACCTAAATAAGATGTACCTGAAGTAGGAATTCCATTATGCAAGTTTTCAGTGGCTTCTGTGAAAGAGTAAGGTTTTCTTTGCCTAAGTGGAATTCTGCTATTTTGAATCACATATTTATTATGCAGTTCATCTATGTCATGCATTGATACACTAATTTTAAACCTTTCTTTTCCTACATTATGATGTTCATTGCTTTCCGTTAACGGAATAATTTTATGTTCTATTTTTGCTGTTGTCCCTTGTTCTTCTTTCAGCAAATTAGGTTTCTTTTCTAGATCTTCTTTTTTCTCTCTTTGCATTCCATTACTCTCCAGCGGTATTTGTATGTGTATGTCTTCCTTTAGTAAATCTACAGTAGAAAAATAGATAATAAAATGTCTTTTAAAATTAAAGTTTTTAAAAACAGCTTAATTGAAAGTTTAATTATAATTTTCCCAAATGTAATTATTGCTGGTACTATTTCTCTTAGTTCTTTCATTGCCATTAAATAATAAACAGATTCACAATACAATCACTATTACTACTAACTTGGGTTCATACAAAACATCTCTTCAAGAGCACAATACTTAAAATATTTTGCTGGATGGAAAGTCAAGTAAGTGTGGACAAATGTGGATGGCTGATAGTATCCATCCTAAAGAAAGATTTAAATCTTTTCCTTCATTCTTAAAAAAAGCAACCTTTTCATGATCTTCTTAAACTTTATTTTTAAAAAGTTTTATTGGTAGTTTTTTGTCATTTCACAGTGTGATTTCCCTTCCCTGACAAAGAACACTTGTTTGTAACAAAGAAAAAATGATTAAGCAAGAACAATTTATATTAGCAACCACACCTAATATTTCGCATGGGTAGTTCTCTCACCTCTCTACAGACAGGAAGAGGGTGCATTTCATCATCTGTTCTGTTGGACCAAAATTGATCATTGAAATTATTCAGAGTTTCATTGCCTTTAAGTGTTGTTTTTGTTTATATCATTATAATAATTGTATATATTGTTATCTTGCTTCTGCTTACTTCACTTTGTAACAAGTTTTTCCAACTTGTTTTTCAATTTCAACTTTTAATTCCTCATCTGTGTTGTTCCTTATGGCACATTAATATTCCATTATATTCATATAACTCAATTTATTCAGACATCTCCCAATCAATGGGCACCCACTTTGCTTCCACTAATAATAGTTAGCATTTAGGTAGTGCTTTAAGGTTTGTAAAGTGCTTTATAAATATTTCATTTTATCTTCACAACAGCTCTGGAAAAGAGGTCCTTATTTTTTGCAGATAAAGAAGCTGAGGGAGATGGAAATTGAGACTTGATTTGGCTCACACAGCTAATAAATGTGTAGTGCTAGATTTGAATGAAGGTTTTCTCATTCCAGGTCCAGTGCTATATCCACTGTGCCACCTAGATATCACAAAAAAATTCTATGAATATTTTGGGAGATATCTAATCTTTATTATTGTCTTTGATATCCTTGGGATTTGCAGAAGGATATTACAAACCTATTTTTTAAAGGTCAACTGAAAATATTGAGATGTTTTCTCTAGCCTAAATTCCTTTCCAGACTTTTCCTTTTAGGAAAATAGGAAAAAAAAAAAAAGGTCAATCCTATGGACTCTAGAAGCAACAGATACATCAACTGGCACAAAAATTTACTTGTTCCTCCAAGGTATACTTAACTTCCAGTCGTTTCAGAAGAACCATGCAACAGACTAGAAGATGGCAGCATAATATAGTGGAAAGTCAATAAGTCAATAAGTCAGACAGGAGGCAGCTAGGTGGCTCAGTGGATAGAATGCTAGGCCTTCAGTCATGAATAACTGAGTTCAAATTTAGCCTCAGACACTCAGTAGCTATGTGAGTCACTTAACCTCTATTTGCCTTAATTCACGGGAGAAGGAAATGGCAAACTACACCAATTTCTTTTCCAAGGAACCTTCATAGACGGTATTGGCCTGCTATGGTCCACAGGGTCATGAAGACTCAGACACGACTGAATGACTAAACAACAACAACAACGTCAGATACTGTGCTAAACACTAGAGATATAAAGAAATGAAAAAAAAAAAAAGTTCCTCCCTTCAAGGATCTCACAGTCTAGTGGAGGGAGACGACATACAAACAACGAAGGGTCAGTTAGGTGGTGCCATGGATGGATTCATGAAGCAAGAGTCAAGACCACCTAAATTCAAATATGGTCTCATACTAGCTGTGTGACTCTGGGCAAGTCATTTAGTCTCTGTCTGCCTCATGAGTTTCCTCATCTGTAAAACTGGGATGATAATAACAACAATACGATAATAACAGAGAACCAGGGTTTTTCTGAGGATAAAATGAAATTATATTTGTAAAGCACTTTGCAAATCTTAAAGTAATACATATACTTATATACACACACATATATATACATATATATACACACCCAGACATACTCACATATATATATCTATATATATATATACATATATATACTAGCTAATATTATTACTGTTGTTACGATGGACAAACATTATTGAATAAAATATTAGATAAAAATATATGATGAAATGGAAATTATAACAGATGAAAGGCACTAGCATTAAGTGATTGGGAAAGGCTTCTTGCAGAAGGTGGGATTTTACCCTGAGACTTGAAACCAGAGAAACTAAGGCAGGATGAGGATGGAAAAGAATTCCAAATGTATGGGGCAGTCAGTAAAAATGCATAGTGTTGGGAGATGGAAGATTGTGTGTGAAAAAGAGCAAGGAGGCCAGAGCCACTAGATCTTAGAGTACATGGAAGAGTGTCAGGTATAAGAAGATTGAAAAGTAGGAAGGAGCCAGGTTATGAAGGATTAAAAGCCAAACAGAAGATTTTATATTTAATCCTAGAGACAATAGTAGGGACTTTCTGGAGTTTATTGAGGAGGGGTAACAAAATCAGATCTGAGATTTAGGAAGATCACTTTGATAGATAAGTGGAGGATGGCCTTAGAGGAGAGAAGGGGAGGGTCGCATATGAGAGATATTGTGAAGGTAAAATGGCAGTACTTGACAACGGATTGGATATAGGGCCAGCAAGAGAAAGTGATGTGTGTTTTCTTCCTTCATTAAAATGTAAGCTCCTTGAGGGCAGGGGCTGTCTTTCTTTTTCTTTTTATTTTATCCTCAGCCTTTATCATGGTGCGTGGCAGATGGCACTTAACAATTACTTTCCTATATCATTCCAAAGAGGTGGAAAATTCTTAGCTATTCAAGATATAGAAGAAATTATAGATGATATGACATATATATATATATACATATACATCAGATTATATAAAAACAAAGACTTTTCACAACCAAAAGCAATATATCTTGAAAAAAAATCACTTGAAAAAATTTTTCCATTTCATGCCTAGTAACAGTGGGTGTTACCTGGCTCTGTCCTGGGCTGTGTTTTCTTTACTTTTCTCTCTATTCTCTCATTTGGTGATCTTATCAGCTTCTATGGGAATTATCTTCCCTATGCAGATGATTTCTAGATCTTTTATCTGGCCTTGTTTTCCTCCTGATCTCCAGTACCACATCAACAATTACCTCCTGGACATCTCAAAATGGATCATAGGCATCTCAAACTCAACATATCCAAAATACAACTCATTATCTGTCTCCCCAAAACCTACATCTTCTGAAATTCCCTGTTACTATCAAGGTCATCATAATCCTTCTAGTTAACCAGTTTTGCAAGCCTGGTGTCATCCTCAATTCCTCTCTCTTACTCACCACAAATCAAATCCTTTTCCAAATTTTGTAATTCTTTTTCTCTCTTCTTTCATATTTTTCTTTTCCTTCCTCCCTTCCTTCCTCCTTTCCTTCCTCCCTCCCTCCCTTCCTTCCCTTCTCTTCCTTCCTTCCTTCCTTTCTCTTTCTTTCTTCCTTTTGCTTTTTCCTTCTTTCTTCCTTCCTTCCTTCTTTTCTCCCTTCCTTCCTTCCTTCCTTCCTTCCTTCCTTCCTTCCTTCCTTTCTTTCTTTCTTTCTTTCTTTCTTTCTTTCTTTCTTTCTTTCTTGTTTTCCAGAATTTCTTGAATTCTGTCTACTCACACAACTATCATTCTAGATTAGGTCCTCATCATCTCTTGCTTAGAGTGTTGCAGTAGCCTCATAATTGATCTTCCTGCTTCAAGTCTCTTCTTACTCTAATCCATTCTCAACCCAACTGCTAAAGTGATTTTCCAAAAGCATAGGTCAGACTTTGTCATTCCTCTATTAAATAAACCCCACTGGCTCCCAGAATTAAAGTTAAAGTCTGTTGGCATCTAATTTTACTTTGGCATTCTTCACAACCTGGACCCTTACTACTTTTCCAATCTTCTTACATTCTAGTTTAATTGGTATGACACTGAATAAGTAAATTAATTTAGATAGTGTTGTTATTTTTAGTATTTCTCCAATTACTTAGGTCTATCTTATTTCAGTAAAGAGTGTTTAGATTATATTCTTATTGTTTCTAGATATGTCTTGGTAGAAAGATGCCCAAATATTTTATACATTTATAATTCAGTTATTTGGAATGGAATTAATCTTGCTATTTTTTTCTGCTGGATTTTGTTGATAATATATGAAAGGCTTATAATTTATGTAGATATATTTTATGTCCTGCAACTTTATTGAAGTAACTAGTTGTTTCACTTAATTTTTTAGTTATTTCTTTTGGGTTCTCTTGATAAGTCATCATATCTTCTACAAAAGACAAGAGTATTATTTCCTCTTTGCCTGTATTTATTCCTTTTCTTTTTCCTTTCTTATTGTCAGAAATAGCACTTCTGGCATGTTGATAAGCAATAGGGCGATAATGGATATCCTTTCTTTAGCCCTGGTCTTATTGTAAACTCCTCTAACATTTCTTCATTACATATGATGTTGGCTCTTGCTTTTAGCTATCTAAAAGTAATATCTACATATTACATATTTGGTAAAAGTAAATTTATTTTATGCTTTCTACTCTTTTCAGCTTCTACTGATATAATCAAGTGGTTTTTATCTTTTTTTTTTTTATTAATATGGTCTACTGTGTTCGTAGTTATCCTGACATTGAGCCAATTTTGCATTCCTGGTACAAATTCAATCTGATTAAAGTATGTAATCTTTTAAATCTGTTATTATAGCCTCATTGCTAACATTTTATTCAATATTTTTGTGTCCATGTTCATTAAGGATATTGGTCTATAGTTTTCTTTCTATGCTTTGTCTCCCTCTGGATTAGGCTGCAAGACCATATTTGTATGATAGTAAGAGTTTGGAAAGAATCTAGTACAAAGTCTTTATGAGTCGTTCCTGAAAAATTCACCACCAATGATACATGTCTCTAAAGTTAGGTAGGCTGGTTCTTAGACAAAAGATGCAGTCTGTGCTTAAACCCATCCTTAAAGCCTTTCCAGCTAGCATTCTGTTTGCACTGACCTTGAGAATCCAGGGTTGCTCCTATTCCATAGTGCAGGGGTGGGGAGCCTATGGCCTTGAGGCCACATGTGATCTTTTAGATCCTTAAGTGTGGCCTTTTGACTGAATCCAAATCGGATTCAGTCAAAAGGCCACACTTAAGGATCTTGAACCCACCCCTGTTGCATAGTGAGTCATTTTACAATATATGACATTTTACAATAGCTCAAATTATTCATATCTTTTGGTCCAGTGATCCCATTATTAGGACAATACCCAAAATAAGATACTGATATGACGAGAAATTACTATCTGTAAAAAGTGTGTCTATAGCACTATTAATCATAAAATATGAAAATAACAAGATATCTAATGATTAGAGAATGGCAACATAAATTGTGATATATGAAAGTAATGAAATATTATCCCATCATCAAAATTATAAATATTAACTATAAATGACTATGAATAAGGGAAGACTTTTATGAAGTGATATAGAATAAATAAAGTACAATCAAAATAACAGTGTACATGTGGACCACACTATGTAAATAGTGATAATAATAATAATAATGATAATGATAATGACAGCAAAGAAATATAGATGAATACAAAGAAAAAATTTCAGGAGACAGAAAAAAGCAGGATATTTTGTTACTAGCTTGTTAAATTTAACATATATACATTTTAAAATAGTTTAAAAATTATAAATAATGGAAGTTTATGATTTCATGCACAATATTTTAAAATTCTTTTTTTGTATATTTGAATGTTTATTTTTGTTGATGCTTTAAATTTACAGTAAACAAAAAAGGGAAATTTTTATCTCATTTGTGTTCCAGTCTGCTTTTGGTTCATTTAGATTTTTATTCTACTGAATCCTTTCAAACATGGTATTTTTACTGATAATTTTGTATAGTATAATCATTTCATTTTGCTTCAGTAACTTGTAATCTTAACTTGGAAACCTCCTTTTTAATTATTTAAACATAATCCAAATTAAAAAAAAAACCAACATGGCCAAAATCACAGTAATAGGGTCTTGGATTTTGGTTATATCTTCATCATGAAATTGTCCATGAATTCCTAATGAATAATTTAGCATTACCACCATAATCTCAAAACAATTCTATGAAATAGAATATTTAGCTATAAAAGATCTTCCTTGGGAGGCATAAGCCTGAGAATACTTAGCTGTGCAGACAACAAAAGATAACCATAGTAACTTGATAAATAGTAAGATAGTCAATGGAATGTCAATGGAAGCTTAATATAATAGTAAGGGTTAAATAGAACATTTTTTAAATCATGGTATTTCTGATGGCAGGGTGGGTTTTGGATATACTTGGCAATAATCCAGTTATCCTACTGTGAGACTTTACTTCTTATTTATGAGATGAATTATTGTTTATGCTTCTGAGTATTGTTTTACAAAGTGACCTACAAAATGAAGAAATAATGAGTAAATAGAATCATTTTTATTATGACTTGAACATTTATGGAAACTTGAACATATTCTTTCTGGAATGGAAAAAAAAAACTGTTTCCCAAATGTGGTATCAGAGAATCACACTGGAAGGTAACTCAGAGAACAATTCGTTCAGGCTGCACATGACTGAGAATATCCTTTCAATTCTAGAACATGTGATGAAATTAGTCTTTAAGACCTCTAGTGAGCAGAACCTGCTAACTCCTGAGGAAGCCCATTTCATTTTGGGAGAACTTTAAGTGTTCATTAGTTTCTCTTTAGATGTAGTGAAAATCTGCCTCTTTGTAATTTTCAGCCTTTGCACCTATATTTATCCTCTGGGGCTAAGCTGAACAAATCTAATACCTCTTTTACTTATCAGTCCCTTGAAAATAGCTATTGTGAAAAGAGAATATGTGGAGGAAAAAGATAAATATGCAATTATGTAAATGAATATAATATAAATAAATATAATAAATAACCTAATTATATTCTCAAACATAAGAAAAAGTCATGATGAACTAGCCTTAAAAATACATTATTCATAAACTGTAAAACTTTCTGTATCTTTCTTAGAACAGTATTCTATAAATACAATGCTCCCATGGAAATTTTAATTTTTAATAGTATGTAATATTGTTTCAAAATTTCATTTCAAATCTGATGATCCTTGTTAATATATTTTTTCCCATTAACTTGTGCTTGTCCATTAAAAATGGACACTTTAAGAACTTATATGAAGTGAATTTATGGACTGTATAAAACTTCATATAACTTGATATAGCCAAAAGATTATGCTTATAGATTTAAACTCTCTCATTTCACAATATATTCACTACTGATTAACTGCTAAATCTAAATACATCATCTGTAAACACTGCAAAATCATGAGAGTAAGTTTCTGTAACCCTTCTGTGGATATTTGCATAGTTATTCAGTTATGTCTAACTCTTCCTGACCCTGTGGACCATAGCACACCAACACTATCCATGGCATTTTCCTGGCAAAGATACTGAAATGATGTAATTTTTTTTCTCCAGTGGATTAAGGCAGAGGTTAAGTGACTTGCCCGGGGTCACATGGCTTGTAAGTGTCTGAGGCCAGATTTGCACTCAGGTCTTCTTGATTC